ACGTGTGCTAAAACTCGGAGGTGCCGTAGTTTCGGTGCTTGATCGGTCGGGCCGTGAAGACGTACGACTACATCAACCGCGTTGTGCTAACGTTTCCGCTATCCGTCTACAAGGGTACATAGATCACACTCTCCCCTCTCGTTGCTATGCATCACCATGATCTTGCGTGTGCGTAGGAAAATTTTGAAATTACTACGTTCCCCAACACTATCTCCATTGGCCGGACTGTTAGACTATGAAGATACAAGATTTAAGACTTCGTCTCGTGTCCGGATGGGACTCTACTTGGCATGGAAGGCAAGCTAGGCAATACGTATATGGATATCTCCTCCTTTGTAACCGACCTTGTGTAACCCTGACCCGCTCCGGTGTCTATATAAACCGAAGGGTTTTAGTCCGTAGGACAACAATCACAACATACAATCATACCATAGGCTAGCTTCTAGGGTTTAGCCTCTCTGATCTCATGGTAGATCTACTCTTGTAATACCCATATCATCAACATTAAGTAAGCAGGACGTAGGGTATTACCTCCATCAATAGGGCCCGAACCTGGGTAAAACTTCGTGTCTGTTGCCTCCTGTCACCATCCGGCCTAGACGCATAGTTCGGGACCCCCTACCCGAGATCCGCCGGTTTTGACACCGACACTTGGGCTGCGATATATTAAATAAGTTGCAGCAAGGAATGCCTGATTCCAAAAATTTAAAGGCATGGATGCATGAGCCGAGAGTGAGAGACCAACATCTACAATGTGGCGCCATTTTCTTTCGGCGGACCCATTTTGTTGATCAGGCATGTAGGCATGAGACATGATGTGTCAATCCAATTTAATGGAAAAAAGAATTTAGACGTTCATACTCATCACCCAAATCTGTTTGCATGGTGATGATTTTGTGATTTAAAAGTCTTTCTGCGAGCGTTTGAAATTCATGGAAGACTTTGAATACTTCAGCATTATGTTTGAGGAGGTATATCCAAGTGAATTTGCTATAGTCGTCAATAAAAATCATATAGTAATTCTTTCTATTAATGTAATTACAGGTAGGCACCCATCCACATAAGAAAATTTACGCTCAAGGAGCATTGGAAAAACTATTCGAACTAGGATAATTAAGGTATGGCTTTTTCCTTCTTGGCATGTATCACAAACTCCCTCTTTACTCAGCTCACTATTGGAGAAATGAATGTTATTTTGGTTGACTACAGGAAGAACTATGGTAGATGATGGATGTCCTAGCCTTCTATGCTACCTCTTAGCAGATAGCTTGTTGGCACAAAATGCCTGTCTTCTTGAACCTAACAGGGCCGATCATAGGGGTAGAGACTGCGCCTACACCTTCTTTGGAGAAGGGTTTCCCTCATTCCCTTTTTCTTAACGAAAAACAATCATGGGTGAACTTGAAAAAAAGTTATTATTGTCCATGGACAAACAATGAGCAGAGATTAAATTGTGAGTAGCACTAGGAACATGCACCTTGTCTTTAAGATGAAGATCACGAGTGGGAGTACGAAGAGTAGATAGGCCAATATGGCTGATCTTCATATCTTGTCCATTAGTAATATGAACTTGGTCATGGGGTGTACTTGTCACGAATTCTCCATTGACACGGTAGCGGCCTCCCTTGTCGCGGCTTCCATGGCCACAACCGCCGCCATTTCTACCGCGTCCACTACGACTACCGCTACCATGACCGAACCTGTTGTAGCTCCTCATGTAGCACCCTTGGCAGAGGAGTGCTAAGTCGATTCTCAAAGCTAGTGAGCTGAGAGTACAGCTTGCTGACTGTGATCTACTCAGTTCTGGTGCAGATGGAGGAGATGAAGGACATGTAGCTAAAGTCGACTACCGTGAGGATGTAGGACACCATGTCGTCATCGTTCACGGGTTTTCCTGAAGATGCCATCCCACCATCGAGCGCTTTCATGCGCCCAAGATACTCAGAGATGGTTACAGTGCCCTTCTTTGTAGTATACAGAGCCATCCATGTGTTAACGATACGAGCGCATGCCTGGAACGGAAACATCTCTCCATTTGGAGTCCATGTTGTTCTTGCCTTGTTGCAGTGGGCAAACTGAATCATCATATGAGGTTTGATCGAATTGAAGATGAAACTGAGAACCTGGGAATCCTGATCGCTTGAGCGATCACGTATGCCAGATTGGACACATTAGTGGGCTTGCTGTCCTTGTCGGAGAGCTTGGGCGTAGGGAGCTGGTGGTCAGGATTGATGTGGACGACCATGTTGTTGATTAGTCTTCCCAAAAATCACATATATTCAAAAATTAAGTCTTCATAACATTTATTGCGTTTGGACTTCATTTGATATGGATTTTCTGAGAAACCAAAAAAATATAAAATAGAGGAACTGACATTAGGCAAGGGATCAATATGTTAGTCCTAAAAATAATATAAATGTTTCCAAAAGTATATTGAAGTTGTAGAATATTGCCATGAAATAATAAAAAATTATTGATACGACAAAGACGTATCAGGAAAGGGGATGAGCGTAGGTGCAGTGTTGATGGAGCTAGAGCTAGCTATTGCGGCGAAGATGTGGAAGAGGAACATGCTCTGAGTACTATAAAAGATGGCTTCAAGTGTATGCATTGGCAGGGGCACGTTGCATGTTATATATAGGTACAAAGATTAGGCTACTCGAGAACGCACTCCAGGCAGCGCCGCCGCCCCGCCCCCCTCCCCCCTGCCACCGCTGGCATACACCGCTGAGCAAAGCTCGCTGGTAGCCGGCGGTGGCGAGAATTCATCGCGACATATCTTGCTCAATGTGGTCACCCTTGCCTTCACCATATCTGGCACTGGGGCATCCCTCCCGGCGGCAGGTCGTAGGATCCGGCCGGAATCGGGCCCTGGTGGCTCCCCGTGCAGTGTCTATGGTCCCAATAGTCTGCTCCATCCTCATTCGATTGTCCACCTTCGTCTGATCTGGATATGGGAGCGTCCATCACGATGGTTGTTGTCGGCCACGTCGTTCAATTCAACTGGTATTGAAGAACCGCAACAAAGTCTGATATGAAGCCCATCGGCTAGTACGGCCGCGTCACATCGTCCAGATAGGATCGGGCAGGCTGGTGATTGTCGGCATGTGGCTCCTGCTGATTGTTCTTCAGGCGACATCTTCTCGTTCCCGTTGTCTAGATTGGATTGGGCAAGCTGATGGTCTTTGCGTTGGCTGCCTCGTCAAATCTGGCGGCCATGCACTAGGGCGACAGTAATGCCAAGGGGCCGCACCATGGTTGACTTCGGAGGCTCGATTATTGTGCGGTTGTGCTGCAGTGGCTACTAATCCGCGGCTGGTACTGAATTTTCTGGATCAGATCCATCTCCGACGACCATGGCAGCAACTGTGACCAATACGGACCGCAGCGGCTAAACGCTACTGATTGCGGTGGTCACCGATTTCCTAAGGGTTTTGCTCTCCAGATCTAATGGTTGGCTGTGACGGTGTGATGCATTCTACGGACGACGGCTTGACACAGAGAGTATGTATGTGCAGCAGTGGTGGTTGGTTTTCTAGACCAGTGCATGTAGCTGCTTGGATGGTAGAAAAGTGGTGGCAACAACACTTGATTGACTTCAAGGAGCTCTGGGGTGACAACCTAGGACTAACACATGTTGGTTATACTTGGCAATGACGGTGTTGTTGTGTCGTCACCTTGTTGAAGGCATTGCTCGGATATGCTTTGTCTCTTTTTCAGGGTGAAAACCTAAATTTTAGTCTTCAATGGCTGGATCGGTGACGATGACCCTTGAGTGTCGTTCCTTACCTGAAGGCGTGCTATTGAAGAATCTTGTTGTCCTTGTGGTTTCATGAGATGGTTGATGTGAATATGGCCATTGCCATAGTTTGTCAATAGCGGATTTGATCACTTCAAGATATTTTTCTTTTTCTATGCTACTAGGCATAGCTTTGGTCTTAGATGAATTTGTTACCTGCCAACGTGTTTTCTACAGGTGTGTGGGTATTGGCTGTGGGCATCAATCTCTGTAGAGGCCGGATATGTACTCATTGTTTTTTATCCTCTTGATACTTCATTTTAAGTGAATAAAATCCAACTTTTATCGAAAAACAAAGATTAGGATCTATCATAAATAGCCTGAAAATTGGGATTACAACAACCAGGCCAACCCTATAAGGTTTATACAAATATCGTATACAGGAACAACATAATTTCTAACAGGTTTTGCGCCCTGGTTTTAGGCAGGAATCCTGGAAGGATTTGCTGCAACCAAATGAGCTCTGAGGGCATGCACAATGCATAGCTTTAAGGTGATGTCTCGCATGCCATGTAGGATCAGATATGATGTAAAGTAGGTTCGGATAGGGGAATGGGATCCTCTCCAGGAGGCGGGTGCTTGAAGGGAAAAAATATGGTCCGATGTCAAAAGTTAAAAAGGTTGGAGTAAAACGTACAAATGCATATGTACTTGAGTCTTTATTTCTATTTTTTAATGAGACTCATTAGTGGTAGCTTGTATTGAAGAGAAAAATAAATGTAGATGTCTCAGATTATTTTTGTCATGGAGCATATGTATCCATATGCCATCATTGTACATGCCCTGAGGTGTCTCGTAATGCACGTCGGCAATTCTGTGCTTGCTCGGAACTCCAAAGGTCTTTGATTAACGTGAGGAAGCCTAAAGTCTCGCAGTTGAGAACTAGGCTGTAGCCTAGTGGCAAGGGAGCGCAGTGGCGTCTCCAGCAACCAGGGTTCGAGCCATGTCGGGGACGAATTTCTGGTTTCTCACAAGGGATGCTTCTCCTATATTAATAAACCATGGGTGCTAGTGCCCATGAGTTTCATCTAAAGTCTCGCAGTTGGAAAGCAACTCTGACGTCCACCCAAGCCAGCCCATGACGCTACCCTTGCAGAAGATATCACCCTGCAAAAAAGAGGAAAAAACAGAGGATATAAGATCTCACGGCCAAAGCCCTCGTCCGCCACGTTCACCAATTCCCCCAGGCGACCGCTAGCACATGGCGACCGGCCAGGCCGATCTCATCAGCAACCTCCCCGACGACGTGCTTGGCACCATCGTCTCCCTTCTTCACACCAGGGACGGCTGCCGCACGCAGGCGCTCTCCCGCCGATGGCGCCCCATCTGGCGCGCGGCGCCGCTCAACCTGGAAGGAGGTGGCTCTCGGTTGCGCGAGCAGACCGTCTCCGGCATCCTGTCCGGCCACCTCGGTCCTCTACGCCGCATCTCCATCTTTATGATCAAATCCCTCCCCCGCCGCTACGACCTCCGCACGGGGCACCCGATCGTCGACGACACCGGCGATGCCAGGGTCGACAACTGGCTCGGCTCCCGGGACCTTGCACATCTCGAGGCTCTCCGGCTCAGCTACGAATACAACACTCACAACAGTACCCTGCCACCGTCCGTGTTCAGCTCTGCGCCCGCACTCCGCGTGGCCTCTTTCGGCCGCTGCCGTCTGCCGCCCAAACTGGCCGTGGACTTCCCGCTCCTCCAGCAGCTCACCCTGTGGATGGTCACCCTAACCCAGGAGGCTCTGAACGCCGTGCTCTCCGGATGCCCTGCGTTGGAGATCCTTGGGATGACCGAGATTAGGGGTGTTGTCTGCCTCCGCATCCGGTCCCGTACTCTCAGGAGCATCAGCTTCCGTCACTCTAGCTATGTACCTTCCCAAGAGCTGGTCATCGAGGACGCCCCTTGCCTTGAGAGGGCAAGGTTGCAGCCATTTGGCACAGATAATAGTGTGGTCACCTTCCGGGTAATCCATGCTCTTAAATTGGAGATGTTTTCTCAGGTATAGCTGCAATCTTAAGTTTCTTTAATGCCACGTGGATTAATTAATATATACAGATTATTAATACCTACATAAGTTTGGTCTATATTCTATCCTTTTAGCTAATGAACACAGTTAGGTTGACAACCACAATGCACACGGTGAAGATTTTAGAACTTGAAGGTGTCGGTGATGATTTGGACCCGGTGCTTGACTTAAGCTTCCTCAAATTCTTCCCCTGCCTCGAGAGGCTTTATATTTATGTGAGTTTTCAGATTTAATATCTTTCTTAAATTGTTAAGATGTCATGTTTCCAAATTAGTAGCAACTGTCTTTATATATTTTTTATTCATATCTCCAGTTAAACTCAGAGATATGGTTCTCTCATCCATTATCTAAAAATGTGAGGACGTATGTCTCACTAGATGATCCAATTGAATGTCTTGAGCACCGACTAAAAAAAGTGGCATTGAAGATCTACAATGGGAAAGGCCCAATAGTTGACTTTGCGAGATTCTTAATTTTGAACCAAAAAAATAGAAAATACAGGAACTGACATTAGGCAAGGGATCAATATGTTAGTCCTAAAAATAATATAAATGTTTCCAAAAGTATATTAAAGTTGTAAAATATTGCCATGAAATAATAAAAAATTATTGATACGACAAAGACGTATCAGGAAAGGGGATGAGCGTAGGTGCAGTGTTGATGGAGCTAGAGCTAGCTATTGCGGCGAAGATGTGGAAGACGAACATGCTCTGAGTACTATAAAAGATGGCTTCAAGTGTATGCATTGGCAGGGGCACGTTGCCTGTTATATATAGGTACAAAGATTAGGCTGCTCGAGAACGCACTCCAGGCACCGCCGCCGCCCCGCCCACCCCCCCTGCCACCGCTGGCATGCGCCGCTGAGCAAAGTTCGCTGGTAGCCGTCGGTGGCGAGAATTCCTCGCGACATATCTTGCTCAATGTGGTCACCCTCGCCTTCACCATATCTGGCACTGGGGCATCCCTCCCGGCGGCAGGACGTAGGATCCGGCCGGAATCGGGCCCTGGTGGCTCCCCGTGCAGTGTCTATGGTCCCAATAGTCCGCTCCATCCTCATACGATTGTCCACCTTCGTCTGATATGGATATGGGACCGTCCATCACGATGGTTGTTGTCGGCCACGTCGTTCAATTCAACTGGTATTGAAGAACCGCAACAAAGTCTGATATGAAGCCCATCGGCTAGGACGACCGCGTCACATCGTCCAGATAGGATTGGGCAGGCTGGTGATTGTCGGCATGTGGCTCCTGCTGATTGTCCTTCAGGCGACATCTTCTCGTTCCCGTTGTCCAGATTGGATTGGGCAAGCTGATGGTCTTTGCGTTGGCTGCCTCGTCAAATCTGGCGGCCATGCACTGGGGCGACAGTAATGCCAAGGGGCCGCACCATGGTTGACTTCGGAGGCTCGATTGTTGTGTGGTTGTGCTGCAGTGTCTACTAATCCTCGCTGGTACTGAATTTGCTGGATCAGATCCATCTCCGGCGACCATGGCAGCAACTGTGACCAGTGCGGACCGCGGCGGCTAAACGCTACTGATTGCGGTGGTCACCGATTTCCTAAGGGTTTTCCTCTCCAGATCTAATGGTTGGCTGTGACGGTGTGATGCATTCTACGGACGACGGCTTGACACAGAGAGTATGTATGTGTAGCAGTGGTGGTTGGTTTTCTAGACCAGTGCATATAGCTGCTTGGATGGTAGAAAAGTAGTGGCAACAACACTTGATTGACTTCAAGGAGCTCTGGGGTGACAACCTAGGACTAACACATGTTGGTTATACTTGGCAATGACGGTGTTGTTGTGTCATCACCTTGTTGAAGGCATTGCTCCGATATGCTTTGTCTCTTTTTCAGGGTGAAAACCTAAATTTTAGTCTTCAATGGCTGGATCGGTGACGATAACCCTCGAGTGTCATTCCTTACCTGAAGGCGTGCTATTGAAGAATCTTGTTGTCCTTGTGGTTTCATGAGATGGTTGATGTGAATATGGCCATTGCCGTAGTTTCGTGTCACGTCCTTCTGAAGCCACCCGAGCTGAAATAAGGGCGCACACGACCGAATCCCATCCGATCCAGAAATCTATAGGCATGATGTACCCACTAGAGATCTCCGGCGGCATAGTCCGGAACTCGTCAACAACCAAATAAATGAAAGCCGGGATCAAGTAGAACTCTGTTTTGGCTCTAGACCATAGGATCTCCACTGGAGAGAAATAGATCTGGGCCGGAAACTCTAGATCCGCAACATGGCCGACCCTAATGCTGCCGGCACAACCATGGTGTCACCGGAACCTGCCACAAGCCACGAGCCAGCCAGCTCAGCACCGCACTGGCCACAACGATTCGCTCCGGTCATCTCCATCCACCTTGTCCCCCTGACAAAGAGTGCACTGCAGCAAGGGCGGGAGCATGAATGAGGGCCACCAGAGGGAAGCAGGGCACCGGGACGGACCAGATTGGGGACGAGGTGAACTAGATCTGGCCGCCGGACAACGGAGGCATAGCCGGAAGGGCTCCCACCAGCGGTCTGCAGCAGGAAACGGGTCATGCAGGCGGGACAGATCCCATCGGCAGGGACACAATCCGCTATGTGAGGAGAAGGGACGGGGGCGCCTGTCCCAGGCGAGGCGCAAGCACCCACCGTCGCCGACACTAGTAGAAAACAGGGCTTTGGTCCAGGCCGGGTCAACCCATTAGTCCCGGTTTAGTCCAGAACCGAGACCAATGGGGGAATTGGTCCCGGCTCGTGAGCCCAGGGGGCCGGCTGGGCCACGTGGGCCATTGGTCCCGGTTCATCTCGACCTTTTGGTCCCGGTTGGTGGGATGAACCGGGACCAATGGGCCTCGCTCCTGGCCCACAACCATTGGTCCCGGTTCGTGCCTCAAACCGGGACTAAAGATTAGACCTTTAGTCCCGGTTTGAGGCACGAACCGGGACTAATGGGGTTGAGACCTTTAGTCCCGGTTCGTGCCACGAACCGGTACTAAAGGTCTCATTTTCAAACTCTACCCCCCCCCCCGGGTGGATCGCCTTTTCAGTTTTAAAAAAATAAAAGGAAATGATGGAAATGTCAAAAAAATAAAAGAAAATAAGTTTCCCATGTGATATGTGGTCTAGTTGTTGGGAAAATTTGCAAATGTGAATTTTGACTTTATTTGCAAAATCTCTCTGAAATTTGTAAAAATGGGCATAACTTTTGCATACTAACTCGGATGAAAAAGTTTTTTATATGAAAAATCATCTACTCGAAAAGTTACATCCAAATTTGGTCATGGGGTGTACTTGTCACGAATTCTCCATTGACACGGTAGCGGCCTCCCTTGTCGCGGTTTCCATGGCCACAGCCGCCGCCATTTCTACCGCGTCCACTACGACTACCGCTACCATGACCGAACCCGTTGTAGCTCCTCGAGTAGCACCCTTGGCAGAGGAGTGGTGAGTCGATTCTCAAAGCTAGTGAGCTGAGAGTACAGCTCGCTCACTGTGATCTACTCGGTTCTGGTGTAGATGGAGGAGATGAAGGACATGTAGCTAAAGTCGACTCCCGCGAGGATGTAGGACACCATGTCGTCATCATTCACGGGTTTCCCTGCAGATGCCATCCCACCATGGAGCGCTTTCATGCGCCCAAGATACTCAGAGATGGTTACAGTGCCCTTCTTTGTAGTAGACAGAGCCATCCATGTGTTAACGATACGAGCGCACGCCTGGAAAGCAAACATCTCTCCAATTGGAGTCCATGCTGTTCTTGGCGAGACGACCATGTGACGCTTAAATTCCTGAAGGTTAATAGGATTGACATCTTAGTATTGTCAGGAAAACAACAAGTGCAGACTTGGAGCGAGGGAGAATAGAACCCGGAAGTTAAGCGTGCTCAGGATGGGGGAGTGGGAGGATGGGTGACCGTTCGGGAAGTTAGATGATTTGGAATGATGAGGGGTGATTAGAGAATAAATTGAGAAGTGATGAGAGGTGGTGATTACAGACTAGAGGTTAAAATAATTCAGAAATTTGAAAATAAAAAAAATTCAAATTTTTTTTTCAAAAAAAATCATAAAATTTCCTTTAGTCCCGGTTGGTGTTACCAACCGGGACTAAAGGTGGAGCTCCACGTGGCCGCGCCCTTTAGTCCCGGTTCTGGATTGAACCGGTACTAAAGGGATAGGCATTAGTACTGATCCTTTAGTCCCAGTTCCAGAACTGGGACTAAAGGCCCTTATGAACCGGGACTGAAGGCCCTTTTTCTACTAGTGCGACCACCTCCTCGGGCTTTGCCATTGCGGCGCCACCGCCGGCTGCGACTGGGGAGGGGGTGTAGGGTGGGGGCTAGAGGGGCGGCGGTGGGATCGCCGCCCGTGTCAACCGCTAGGACGATGCTGGGGCGTTTCTTTTGCTCCGAAGAAATGTTCTTAACCGGCCATTAACAGGAGCATGGCGAGTTTAATTTTTCATTGTTTTGAAGAATGATCCTATGCACCAAAACAACGTTATGATAACATTCACATGGACCCAACATGCAAATATGGGAAGAATACAACCCTCCCTCCCCGCGCACCCCTCCATTAACATGGGCTCAGGGAGGGGTGTTCTATTTTGTTTCTTAAGACTGTTGATATCGACTGAACCTGTTGTTCCCTTGTGGTATTCCCTTTGCTTCGTGATACTTTACCAAACTCGAGGTGAGATTTATTGGTATCCCCGTGAATCAACTTTTGATCACTATACCTAGTATCTTTGTTACATGTTCTGTTCTCATTTCTCGTTCCCATGTTCTGGATCCCCGAGAACAAGTCGTGTTGTGTCTGTCCAGATGATGATGGATACCTTCACACTGAGAGGCCCCAAAGAATATCACTCCATCATCGGAGTAGCAAATCCTAGTATCAAGCTATCAAGTCCCTTTTCACTATTTACTAATCCACCCGAGGGCCTGTTCTTTTGCAAGATTATCCCATCATCGGACCACTCCCGAGCTTCTCCC